ACTTGCCTTCGCAGCGCATGTTGCACAGCTGGAACCTTTGTGCGAGCTACATATAAATCACTGCATGCTCCCTGTGTCACTTTCTTTTCACTATCATGCCCGGTGCAGTGGTAGAGATCTGTGAGAGTGCGTGAATCGCAGCAGATCTCGCCTGCCGCTGTGGTGAAGTTGTAGAGACTGAGGGTGAGTGTGTATGAAAGTGCTACACACTCCAGCTCATCCTCAGCCACCCTCACACAAGGCCCTTATCTGGTTGGGGTGCCTTCTATTTCCATCCACCGATCACATGCAAAACAGCTGTGAAGAACAGCCTGTATATTTAGCTGTATTGTGAGGGCGCCGGGGGGCTGTGGCTAGCTTAGCCTATTACTGCCGCACAATGGGGACTTTGACAAGAGACAGCAAGAGGAAGGAAAGATCTTCCACGGTGGGACAAAAATAGACAGCTCAGTGTGTGTTGCATTGTGGACTCAGCAAGTGTGACTGAGCTGCGATAGACAGAGAGGCTACCGTGTGTGTTTCCAGAGTTTACATAAAGACTTTCACTGAAGCTTTATTGTTTTGCTTACTTTGAATATGCAGCAACGTTTACTGGAGATTATTTTTGTCGGTTCAAAGATCACACTGGAGCTTCAGAGTGAAGTTAACGGAGATCTGGAACTTTACAGATGCTTTCATCACGGATTATTGTGCCTATTATATTTATCAGTTGATTTATCGCTTGGTCGACAAAATGTCCAATAACTGCAAAAATTGACGTTACAATTTCTGAAAAATCTCCAAGGTCACGTTTTCATCTGTTTTGTTTGATCGACCAAATCCAAATCACGTGATTTTTCTTAAATTCAAGTGTTAAACTGAAACTTGATGATTTACGGGACCAAAGACTAAAGATTGTTTTTATTTAACTAATAAATTACTTAAAAATTGTTGAGCGGAGAGATACAAGACTCACTAACACTTTCTTTAAACTAAGAAATACATTTGCTATTTGGGACAAAATTACACACAAATGTGTAATAGAATTTAATAAAGACAATTTATATCAATGAGGTCAAAGGTCAACTTCACTGTGATGTCCTAATGTTCACTATTTAACACCATAACATTGTGACAGTTACGAATGAGCAGTAAAACAATGCCTAAATGTATTGCAAAATAAGAAAAGTTCAATATATTTTGCTAATGCATTGTGCTATCACAGTGAGGAGGTATAACACAGTTGATCTACCTCAGATTTATTTTTAAACTCACTCAGGAACAAAAAAGTAAAGGAAATATTGTGATAGTTATTGATATTGATTCATATTCAAGGCGGTAACTGGTCCTTAACTGGTAACAAAGGATGAAGACGATAGTTATTTATCCATTTAATTTGTCGTCCAATCGTGTCTTGTCTCTAATCCAGGAATGAAGACAGGATGGAGAGGAGTGAACGACAGACCTGCACCAAGATGGATAGTATTGAAGCTGCAGACGAACAGTAAGTCAAGTCTTGCGTGTTTGTGTGAGTATTATTGTGTTTGTGTTCCTCTGTCAGTCTCACACTCATGGATGTCTTCATCTTTAGATGCCCCAGTCTGGAGGAGCTGCTGTCGTGGGCACGGAGCTTCGAGATGATGCTGCGCTCGTTGGAGGGCCGGGAGATCTTCCGGGAGTTCCTGCGCTCGGAGTACAGCGAGGACAACCTGCTCTTCTGGTTGGCCTGTGAGGAGCTGAAGAAGGAGACGAATCCCTCTGTGGTGGATGAGAAGGCCAGGATTATATACGAAGACTATGTGTCCATATTATCACCCAAAGAGGTACAGACTGACTGTGTGTTAATTCTTCAGAAGTTAAGCACCCAACAAAATCAAGTTAATTTAACTTGGGTGCAGTCTTTCATGATCCCCAGAGGATGAATCCTGATCACTTTGGTGATGTCATCGCTTTCCATGTAGCACCATTATCGTGCTACATTAATATCCATAAGGGCTTGATTATCAAACGTTGTCTGTGTTATGAGAAGTTAGTTACATTATTGTTATGAATTATTGATGAACTGACTTTGTTTTTCTGATCTCAGGTGAGTCTGGACTCACGGGTCAGAGAAGGAATAAACCAGAGTCTGGCTGAGCCCAGCAACCTGATCTACGAGGAGGCCCAGCTCCAGATCTACACCCTGATGCATCGCGACTCCTTTCCCCGTTTCCTCAACTCCTCCGTTTACAGAGACCTCCTGGCCAGCAGGAGGCGCACCTGCCTCGACCCCTAGACCCTCCCCACTCCTCCCTCATTGCCATCGTACACCAACGAGACTACTACTTAAACTTCAAATACTACTATGGTGCCAGAAGTCGGGTTTGGAAAAAATCTCTCCCTTTTTTGATTGAAAAGACTGAATGACATCCAAGATAGCTGGTTGTTTTTTTATTTATATTTTTTAAGCAATTTATATCCAGTTCCTCACTGGAGCCAGGTCGGCCTTTGCTGGTTGGTTATCGGTCAATTTAAGACCTTTAATGCTGGCCAGTGATTGTTTCGCAGTTTGTGCTGTTTGTTTCGGTTGACGCTGGCCAACCCACGTGGGTTGAAACGGCCGACCCGTTGGCCAGCCGTCGCTCACCTGTGGACGAGGACTCCTCAGGCAGCGGGGACAGAAAAAGAGAGAGAGATGAAAAAGGACAAGCCAACTGTTCCTGTACTGTAATATTTAGACCTCATGCTTTCTACCCTCACTTCTAAAGTTCTCTCTCTTTACTCATTCTCTCTCATGTTTTATTGTGTTTTTTCTAACTCTGTCCCATTCCTCAGACATGTTTGATTTTTGTCTTGTTTTAAATTTTTCTGTTCTATCCAAACATGACACCTAGTTGTTGGTGGGATCTGGAGAGTCGGAGTTTCTGCCCATTTAACCAGTAGAAGCACTGGCTCTGCATGTAACTCTCTCTCTCTCGACAGTAGCTTGACGATGTAAGCCGCGGACTGCAACTGTTTTTGAATATTGAGATGTATTAAGACAGGGACCTGTCTCTGCCTGGTTGTTTTTGTTCAGTGAAGGGAAGTACACTTCTGCCCATTTTAAGCTTACTGCTGTTTTGTTGATGAGGAGATTTAATGGCTTCTGCAGCAGAGGCAGCAGCAAAAGCACCTACCCATCCATCCGTCCGTCCATCCATCCGTCCATCCATTTATCCGTCCGTCCAGGCACTTTCCTTCTTTAGGATTCTTTAACTGGGAGAAGTAAGGGCTAGAATTGTGGTTGGGCAGCTACATGTGTTATTACTACTCATGAACTTTAGACAAAAACAATCTCTTCACTGAGAAAATCACAATGCCTTTACATGTGAGAAAAAGGCAGCACAAGCGCTGCTGGAGTTTTGCTGGAAAGCAACCACAGTTTGTCCAACGATCCCTACCTCCCATCCTTTTTTCCCTCCCCCTTCCTCCCTCCACCTCAGACCATCACAGCCTGACAAGCACAGGTGCCCAATGTGGGGGTGGAAGATACCCCACCCCTGGATAAAATAAAATAAAAAAACACATTAACTCCAAAAAAGTCATTTGCATCTTGAAATTCATGAGCAGAAGAAAAGGGTTTTACTCTCTAGCGTTTCACCTTGAATTGAGGATTTTGGAAAACAAGCAGATGCAGCAGGCACCGATGTGATTAAAAAGGGTCATCGAGCCCCGGCCTTTGTCTGTAAGGCTCTAGCTTTAGAAGCTTTTGGTAATATGACACTCCTTCGAAGTTGAACGTCCAATATCTCAGTGCAGAAACGAGAACCAGGTGCCAAACACGATGTCAAAGATGCTGTGAAGAGACATCAGGTGTGACTCGTCACCAGACTGTAGGGTCTCGCTCGTTGCGGTGCTCGTCCGATCGTCCAGCAGATGAAGTGAACGGTTCTCCTTCAGTTAGCTGCTGCCCGTGTGAGACACTTCTGATTTGTTTCGTTACCAGAGCTAATGAAAAAGGTTGGTGTAACAATGCTAACATGCTAGCCTTTTTTTTTTTTTCCCCCAGAAGGCTAACTAGGTGTCAGCATGCTGTAGGCAAGCAGTTAGCATGCTTGTGCTGGCCATGCTAATGGCCCATCTCACTGCCAGCCCTCACACACACACACTCCGGTTTGTTTTTTCTAATCTGACTTTGACAGCATGCGATGATAACGGCTAATGTGTGTGTGTGTGTGAGTGTGTGTGTGTGTGTGTAAGGAAAAATTACACACTTAACAGAAAAAAAAAATAGAAAAAAAAAACTTTAAGGGGGTCTTGCCAAATGTCCCATTAACATTTTTATTATATAAAAGGACATTTAGTTTTTTGATGATGTGAACATTTGAACATGAACTTTGTTTCTGGCCTGTGGATGTGCAGTAGAAAGTGCATGAGTGCAGTATATGCTATTTTTTTAAATTAACTGGGCCTCCAAGTGTTTTCTTCACGCCACGCGATGGATAACCGTCTCGGTTCGGTGGTTAGTGCAGTCTTTAAAAGTGTCAATGAAACAGTGCCACTCCTCACTGATAAACGTAGGCATCCGTGCTGCCACCACCTGTAACTACCTGAAGTTCACGTGCCAAGTTTGATCTAAATTCAGTTTAACATTAGACGATGCAGGATGTCGATTGAAGACGATTGAAGTGTAATTGGATGTTTAGCAGTTAACGGTAATAGGTTATGGTCTATTTGAGCCTGTGTCCTAATATGTTAGGTTGGTTTTGAATCATCTTGTAAATTGCTGTTGTTAAAACCTTGTGAACCTGATACTAAAAAAGCTTCATGATGAATTATTCAAGAAAGTTTAGTTAGCGAAAACAAATAACTAAATTAATAAAACAACATGAAAAATATACATCCGTTTTGAGGAGTGTACGGTCCATGGAATTATGGGATTTTGAGTTTTCCTCCATTTATTCTCATACTTATACTATTGATGAATCTGTCAGTTCAAAACCAAGCTAACATAATTCCCAAAAAAAACTTTCTGTCGCAAAGTTTTAGTTATAAATCAGTCAAATTGTCTAAACCAATAATCATTAACAGTTTTGCGATGTTCTTTATTGATTGAAAATATACAATATTTAACCTTTGGCAATACAGTACTCACATTTCACTCTACATTAATATCCATAAGGGCTTGATTGATACTGCTTAGCTGCTTTATTGAAGAGAGCTGTGCATGCATGCGCCCAGTTGATCGGCAGCAGAAGAATACAGTCGATAACAAATTCTGAATCGAAAGGATCAAATTTTACATTTAGTCCCTGGAGCAAGTTTTAATTTGCAGGTAACATGAGCGTTTTAGACGTTTGTATTTGGACTAACTGTACGTTTGTCAGTAGAAAGCTCTTCTTGCAGACAGATTTCTCCTCTGCACAGTTCAGCTCTGTTTCCTTGTCACTGAGTCTTTACAGTAATTAACATGAGAATGTTTCACCAAGAACCAGAAAATGAACTCATGGTGCAATTAAACCAAGTTTACATTTATAAATTGTGAGATGCGTGTACCTTAATAAAATACTCATAATAGTTGGGAGCTAAGTGTCCAGCAGAGGGGTCAGCAGGTTTCAGGCTGGAACCGTCGCTGCCCAGTGCTAATGGACATGTCACGAGAACCGGGAGTGTTTGAGAGGGAGGACGGACGCAGCAGGAAACCCAGCTTCCCTGCTTACATCCTTCCTCTTAAGTTATTGTGACTTTTACATGGTTGGGGGAAAAGTCCACGGTTGTTTATTTTTAATAACTGAATTTCAAATGTGGATTTTACAAGCAACGATGATGATGTGAAGTGATGTGTCATCGCTGAGTTTAGAGTTTTGTCTTTAAATTTCCATGGGTTCCAGTCGAGTGGGTTTCTGGAAACGTGGCTGTTGGTTTTGTTGACTTAAAAAAATAATAATAAGATTGAGAGCTGAAGAGTCCTGATGGGATGGAAGAGGTTTGCGAAGCTTTGGCCTTACTGACACGTTTTTATTTTTTTCCTTTGTATAAAAAAAAAAAAAACAACAAACGTCTCTGTAGGCTTTTCACTACCTCTCATGTTGGTTAATTTATTTCACATCTAGTTGTCAATGTACAAGTTGTTTTTACATCTACTTGAAGCCTAACACTGTAAACAAAATGTGCACAGAAAAATGACTATGTATATGACCAGAGGGGTTAAAGAGAGCGTGGCCTAGTCAACATTATTTTTTTGTTTGTATGTATGTTTGTTTTTAATTGTGTTGAGCTGAAATAGATTTTGCATCTCTATAAAGTATTCAGGAATCCACTGTCTAAGGGCTAATCCCATTTTTGCCTATGCAAATCTGTTACTGTGGGCGAGTTGGGAAAGGGCGAGCTACCGCACCTTTCACCTGTTTTAGATGGACCATGGTTTACATTGCCCTTTGCTGATATTCTTCAATCTTACTCAGCAAAAATGTACGCTTATTTTTGTTTCTATATAAATATTATATATATATAAATATATATAAAACAAGTAATATACAGAGAACATAGTATATGCCTTCGTGATGATAAAAAAAAAGAAACCTTGCTGAATACAAATAAATGTGTTGTTGTCTGACATTAAGTGACTGTGTGCTGGAGTCTTGGTAAGATGATGTGGATGACGGGATTTTAAGAGACTGACTGAAAAGTTGACGAGCTGACTGTCAGGAAAGACTTTCATTACTCGGGCTACAACACGAGTAGCTGATCCTGTGCAGTGTTTCCTAACTGAGGGGTGAAAGACTTTATTTATTCAAGGAGCAAACACATCATGACTGTCTGTGACAAACATTGTTATTCAGCCCCAGCCTGTGATCTAAATAAGGTATTTCGGGTCACCCAGTACTTGTCCATGTCATTTTTCACTGTAACACTTGGTCATTTGAAAAGCAAGACTGTGTAACCTTTGCTAAAAGAAGCCGGTGACCAAACCAAACCGGCTGCAACGCCGACACAACTGAGTGTAATGACACGGGCTACGTTTAACTGATTTCACTGCAAAAGAGTTGGACTCTGTTATTTCTTCATGCGAAAGTTACATGGTCTCACTTTGAAGGGCTGAGTTGAGCAAACCTGGAAACAAGCTGAGATATTGTTGGTATCTGCCTTTGAGATGTGCACTGTCCATAGTCCCGTTTTATAACCAGTAATTCATTAATAAAATCAAAAACATTCCACTTACCATGACATTTTTTTTTTTTTTCTTTTCAATTTTTCGGTGATTATCTTTTTGTCACTGGACACTGCACAGCTGTTGTGAACTTTAAATAAGAGAAGAACGGCAACATGTCATCAGCAAACAGCAGCAACTTTGTTCCCTGTTCTTCTCGTTGTTTTTGTAGCCACATCCAGACTCTCACTGTGTGATTACAGTAGCGTTGATGCCAACACATCAGCAGAAGTTTCATTTTTTTAAATCAAATATTCCATAAATGCCAAATGAGTCAAAAAAGTTGCTAGAGGACCATTAATTCCACTATTTTTTTATTCATTATTTTTACAGAAAATTTAGCTCCTGAACTGAAATAGAAAAAAGAATACAAGAGTTGATGTTGTACGTATATTTTTCCCACAATTCCTCACAGCGTATCTTGTGGCCAAGGGCAGACAGGTTTATCCGCTGACGTTGGTTTGAAGCCTGACCTGAGTTTGTGTGTTGAATTGGTGCCTCTTTAAACTTCACATCAGACCTCAATTTCTCTTTCTGTCTCGCTGTGTGTCTCACCTTCTCTCTCTCTCTCGGGCTCTCACTCCCTCCGTCTGGAACATCACACTTGCAACACTGTTAATTTAAGTCGGAGCCTAGACGCCCCCACTTGACAGCAAAAATGGCTCTGATGTTCGATCCTCCTACGTGAACACTGACGCCCTCACACCGTCTCTTTCGTACCTCTTCCTGAGGTGTTTGTGCTACTTTGGGAAAGAGATCATGTTTGTGCAGGTACTGGTTGAAGTTGGCTCTCAACAGTTTTTAGGCAATCACTTTTCTCTTTATTGATTTAGATGCCTAAGCCTCTTTGGTTGTGTCACGCCTTTGTAGATAGATCACAAGTCGTTGAGAGATGATCCGCAGGTGAAAATATAAAAAAGAATTTTTCTGTCACTTTAGGCAACAAAAAAAAAGTGAACTTTTTTTCTATTCAGCATGCTTTTTGCTAAATAAATGAAATAATTCAGTTATTTGCTATAAACGATACTGTATGAGTATGTATTCAAGTACTGCAGTATGCAGACTATTAAAAATATCAGAAACTCTTTTGAGAGGTTCATATTTTTCTTCTAGTATGTTTCACTAATATTGAAGGTTATGAGTACTTGTTGTTTTGAGTGTCTCATGATTCATCAGAATGACTGAAGGACCCTCTTTGTATTTACAAATATAGATGGTTGGTTATTTCCACATGCATGAACTGCAGAGCAACTTTTATCAGGTCAGTGCTAGTGCAGTGAGCTTTTTCTTCAAGGATTTTGTCAAGCTCAACTTTTCACTAGCTGCTAAACAAACTTGGATGATGGCTGAGATCCCGACTTTTATTTCCATCGAGGCCGGTTTAATTTCCCCCTGGTGGCCACTAAAGGTCAAAAAGGCGTCTTTTGGGGGACATTGACTCCTCTCGCAGAACCTTATCTTGAGATATGAGGCAGATGTGACTTCTAGTGTTCAGGTTTAAGATGCTGAGATGGAAGAATGTCAGCTGAGCCAGGGAGAGCAAACTCCTGTGCAACTTCCTTCAACATCTCAGAGCGCTGTGTCCCGAAAACCTGCAGGGCCGTGCTGCCCGCAAGGATCTGATCGCTTTTTCTCGTGACTTTGAATTTTATCAAAGAAAACTGACCATCGGTCCTTGTGTCCAAATCTCCCCAAGATGCAGGAATTCCCCTAATTGTAGCATTGAAAGGACTTTTATTATCTCATTAGCCCATGTTGTAGCGTAGCGCAGGAGGGACTCGTCTCATCTAGCCACGTCTTACAGGGCTGTGAATCTGTACTTCTCGACAGAGCCGATACAAAGAATGGGAATTTGTGCATTGTGAGAAACATTTAGTTATTTTGGCAATCCTCTGCACGACGGCACAAAACAGACTTAAGCTTATCGTTTTCACTGAGGACAGTAGAACTCAAGAGTCTAAAAACGATTGTCTAGTTTAGAAAATGTGAACTCGTTTTGGTCGATAAAGTTACACAAACTGTGTGATACTGTGGTTTAGATGGTGAGGTGAAGAGTTTGACGTTTTGGAAAATACGGACTTTCCCTTCTGTTTGATGCCGCTCTCATGTCTGTACTCTATGAAGCTAGGACCAGCGAGCTCACACTAGCTCTCCTGGCATAGTCCACTTTTAAAGACCATGTATTATAATCCTGTTTAAAGCATATAAAACCAAAAAAGTGTACAAGAAAATGTAAAAGCAACAATTTGTGCTTTTGTTGTGGGGTAATGTGTCGGACCTTCTGACCGTCTGCTTGCTCCAGCTTCATGAATCACAGATGTGGTGTTGATTTTGAGTGAATGAACGTATTTACCAAATGTCTATTCCTTTAAAAACAATAATTGAGCTACATACAATTTTTACATCACAGGAAAAAGAAGGTAACATTTACCTGACACAGTGATCAATGCATCTGTCAGTTCAACGATGTAATGTGCCAAAAATTATAATCAACATTTTGCTTCTATGTGAAGGGGTCAGAGGAGTTGTTGGAGAATAAGATCACATGTTCTGAAAATGTTCCTTATGAAACACATTTTGTTATTTGTCACGTTATCGCTGCCACAGGTTTATGTGATTTCTCTGAATCGACCACATTCAAAATAATCTACTTCGCAGACGTGTGACAGACCTTTGTAAACGTACATTGAACATTTTGCATTGTCACTGATGTGGATTCTCAACCATGTCAGATCCAACTGTGTAAGAAAAGAAGCTGTTCACTGTTTTTTTTATACTGTTTTAATTTATTCCAACAGAAAGTTCATTTGTCTTTGATTTTATCTACGGCTCAGTCTCTGTCTTTGTTTACACGATGACATCCTGCATTACGAGAAAACTCCAATCTACGGTAACTGCCCTTGAATATCTGNTTGTTCATCAGCCTTTAACTTCACGTTAACAGTGAGTTCAATTGTTCTACATTTTATCTACGGCTCAGTCTCTGTCTTTGTTTACACGATGACATCCTGCATTACGAGAAAACTCCAATCTACGGTAACTGCCCTTGAATATCTGTAATTTAAATAGTGCTGCTAGAGAAAGAAATCTAAATGTAATGACTTACAATAAATAATTAATAGATTTTTGCCAAATGTTGACTGTGTCTTTCTTTGACTGGAGGTTCTCTACAGTTTTTTTCACTTTTGAGCTTTATAACTCTACAGTTTAACAGTTTCCATATTTCCTCAGTATTTTTTGATTCCCAGAGATGACTCCTGCTTCTTGTTGTGATAACCAGACTTTTCTCTTTCCTCTAATCAACAAAAAAAAAGTCAATATTAACTTGATTGGTAAAATATTTTTGAACAAACTTTTCCTGTGGCACCACCATGCTATCAATCAGTTAATCAATTTTATTCACAGTGCATGAGATCATCGTGGAATAATATTTAACTAATTTAGTAAATTTGTAGTTGAATTTTTTTAATTTCCTTTCAGGGCGTTCTCCACATTATTCATCTCTGGTAATGTATGTTGAAATCGTTCTGTTATTTTGTTTTTTTCCCCCCCGAGTCATCCACAGTGTAAAACTATTAGAAGTATATTCAGTCAAACACTGTAGACGTTTCTTCAGACGTGTTCACAGGAAGTGAGAAGCTGAGACTGTTTTATAGTCAAATCTACAACCTTCCACACAAACTGAGGAATGGAAATGTTAGTAACACTTCTGCTGAAGGCTCCACAATGTCTTTTTTTCCAGAAAACCAAGTGACAGGAAGGAATCATACCAGCGCACATATGACCAGGTGAGGTGACCAGAGGTAGAAAGAGGCGGCATCATTCAAAAACATCTTTAATTCATCAACAGGAGCCAAGATCATGTTTTCAGACTTGTTTACATTCAGACAACAGGGTGAGAACCACATGCTGAGGACAGGAGAGGAGGCAGGTTTGTGTGCATGAGTGCTCTCTAATACAATCCTCTGTGTGTGTGTCTGTGTGTGTGTGTGTGTGTGTGTGTGTGTGTGTGTGTGTGTAATTTTTCATACAGTCCTCTCTGTATACGAGCACAAGTTTGGGCACTCGTGTGTATGTGTGTGTGTGTGTGTGTGTTCTCTCTCTCTCAGACAGTCTTTTGATCCGTTGCCTCCGGAGCTGTTGAGGCAGATGCTGAGTCCTCCTGGGTCTCGTCCAATCCCTGGCCGCAGCCTCGGTCACCTGACTGCGTGCCTTCTTTCACTGCGACGGCGGTGTTGGAATAGCTCAAGTCTATACTCTCGTATTGTTCTGATGTCCACTGAGAAAGACAGAGAGAGAGAGAGAGAGAGACATAGCAGAGACACATTAGAGTGAGAATCTCTGTCTCCCAAAACAAATAAAAAGGCTTGTAATGCAAAATGGATGGACGCATCAAAACCAATGACTGTGTATAAAGATGGTGGACATGACAGCTTCCAAAAGTGAAGCAAAGACATCTGGAACGCCCCCTGCTGGCTGGCTGCAATGTTGGTCATTAACCCAGCATCATCCATGTTAACAGATGGGACATGGAAACGTCAGGGAGTCCACAGAACCGGGTCTGAGAAAAGATGCTCCATAAAAACACCCACTGACTTAAGTAGCTGCAGCGAGGGAACAGGAAAAGACTGTGTACCACGTGGCAGGGACTGTTTCCTACCTGTGTGGCCCTGCTGCTGGACCTGTGCGAGGGCCCCAGGGCGATGTTGACGCTGGACGAGGACTGCGTGTCAGTGGTGTTTCCGCCTTCAGCAGCAGACAGTCCGGAGATAACCAGGCCGCTGGAGAAACTCTGCTTCCCAAACAGCAGGCTGAGAGTGGACGAAGACGAGGAGACCTGGGGGAAGTTGAATAGACAACCGTTCTGTGAGATGCTAGTTTGTGTTTGCTATGAGTTATTAAAATGTTTCTGCTTTTTTTAAATGAGGACAGAAACAGCAGGTCTCTTTGCTCTTAGTTGTCAGTGTTGAAGTCTGAGTTGTATGTGTTGTTGTGTGTTAACCACCAGAAAGTGTGTATTTGTAAGTCAGAAGTTCATACCTGGCTGGAGCGCTGCTGATGCTGCGCCGCCTGGAGCTGCGAGCTGATCCCACCTGCTCCTGAGAGACGAGGGACCTGACCGGAGAGAGGTCATCTTAATGCTTTATTCTCTAAAGTAAAGACACATTAACATTGTGTGTGTGTGGGTGTAGGTGTCTACCTGGGAGAATATAGAGGCTATGGACGTGTTGAAGGACAGCTGACTGTTGGACAGACGTTGGACGAGCCCGTGGGTGGAGCCTGAGTCCAGGATGGGCCCCGATTGGCTAGTGACAGGGGGACGTTGACTGTGAGGCTGCACTGATCGACTGCGGTACTCCCTCCTGGCTGCAGAGACACACACACACAGAAATACACACTTTAATCATCAAAGCAGAGCTGAAACAATGAGTCGATCTAAAAGAATCAGCAAATATTTCATCATCGATTACTTGTCCTCGAAAAAAAATTAATCAATGTGCGTGTGCGTACCTGTGTTGTGATGTCTGTGGCTGTGTGTCGTCCTGGCTCTGTGCTGGTAGAGGCTCAGGCTGTTGGATGTAACAGAGGACGGGCGGTTTTGACTCAGCGAGGAAGAACCACCGGCGCCGCAGTCCACATCCTCCATGTTCACGCCGCTGTTGCAGCTGGTCAGGTTGTCCTTGCGCACCCTGCGGAACACACACACACACACACACACAGCTCTGATTTATTTATTCATATCCACATCAGTTCAAGGGACACAAACTGGCAAAGAGCCATGAAAAATTGAGCAGGCCTTGAGAATTCCAGCTGGTTAACCACACACACACACACATAGAGGGAGAGAGGTGTTATGTAACTTCAGGAGCATATGTGACACACTTGAGCACTTTTCCTCTTAAATTAGTTAAATGTGCCCTGGCTGAGGGGGAGCGCTCTCTCCTTGGCTACTTAGTGAAATTAAGACAACACCTTTAACTGAAGGCCGATGAAACAGGATTAACAATCTAATCTAATCTAAAAGAAAAACTCAGCCGCTAAGAAGCTTAAGTGAGAGTCACACCGTCACAAACACATTAGCTGACCTGCAGAGGTTAATGCAGAGCCTATACAATAAATTATGCTGTAATGTGTAACAGAGGGATAGGAAAAACAAAAGCGATGGAAGGATGTGGAGGCACAAGGAGGGAAATCTGCAGCAGCAGAAAGTGGAAGGATTTGGCCGCACTCCCACTCCGAACTCCCACCGTCCTTGTATATGTATTTAAAACTACATTAAATAGGCCGAGACGTCTCTCAGCAGCACCAACTTCCACCAAGTCGATGTGTGTAAATCCACAGAGAAGCATTCACTCATCCTTTAGGACCTTTACGGAGCTTTACACTGCGGGTTGAACCTCGTTCAGAGTGATTTACACAAAATACCAGGAACGACGGCTCAGAAAACAGAAAGATCACTTCATCAGCTTGACTTTTCTTTTCTTTTGAGCAGTCATCTGATACAGAACTCATAACTCCAACCACAGATCCCCTTAAATCTTAGATGTTCTTCACAAATATCTCTGTATGATGTCTTTGGAAATTCACAAAAATGTGGGAAAACACCATATCTTGTCACAGCAATGTAAAGGAAAGTGAAAAAAAATAATTCTTGGATCTGCTCCCTGATTCAGATCAGTACCAACATTTTTAGTCTCCTCCCCTCACACATAAAACATCCTTCCACCAGGTTTCAATACATACAGTAGTAGTAATCCTGCTCACATGAGCTCCCTCGCAGAGATAATAATCATTTCTTATCCTGGTTGAGACCAAAGCTTAAAAATCATATGGATTAAATGGATTCTCACCATTCCAGTATTTTTGTATTTAATCCCTCTGTAAATAAGTCCAGTGGATTTCTTATGAGGCCACGTTAATATTTTCACTCACTCCCTGAAATCATATTTCATTTTTGTTTATTTCAGACTACATTTGAGAGACACAAGAAAAACACTGCAGAATAACCCTGAGCTGAAACTGAGGGATAGATGATTGTAAGAAGCATGTGAGTGTTTTACTTTCAGTGTGAGTTCTAAATAAATCAAACCGAGCCTCTTACCCAAGCATTCTGGGAACTGAACTCATGACCTTTCTGTTACTCGCCTTCTTTTTTACCCAACAGACTGAACCACATGTTTTTTTAAAAAGATGAGAGTGTTGTTTTTTGTTTTCTATATTTATCATATGATGAATGTTTAGTTTAGTTTTAAAAAAGAAAGCTTTTAGAGGGGGTTGAACCTGAAGCAGGAAGTAAAGAACTGACCGTAACCATTTAGAGCAGAGCCAGGAGCGAATGGCGTCTAGACTCAAAGCCCCTCCTCCGATGCTGCGGAGCGTACGGTGTGTTCCGGCATATGATGTCGTCAGTGGTGACACATACCTAAAAATATATATATATATCAGACACAAGGAAAGGGACAACAGGGGTAAACAACGCTCCTCCCATATCTGTGACTGATGCGTACATGGGATATCCCAGCGGCTGGTCGCAGGACGAGTTGACCATGTTCCTCAGTGCCTGCTTTGAGTTCTGTATGCTGCCACGTTCGGGGTTTCGGTTCCGCAAAAACACCAACTCTTGCTGCTGGCCCGCCCACAGACCTCGCACACACTCCTTGTTGATCTGCAGAGAGAAGAAGAGATGAGATTATTCAGAAGCTTGTGCAAGAGACTCACTTTTTAAAAGTTTTACTTTCCTCCACGGGCAGAAATTATAATTGTAGTGGCATCGCCTGATCTCCGCAACAGCTTATGATGCGGCATGAAAATCACAATTCTGTGAAAGCCACTGAATTGGAAATTAAAAGAGGTGATAAATGTCCTGGAACTAAACAGCACTTTATCATGTGCTTGGCTGAACAGACCTTACGGCCTGAAACCTCTCTGCCTCCTCCCCGATGACCTCAGCTCTTGTACCTTGATGACCTTGAAGCTGAGGTGGCGTTTGTACAGCATGATGATCTTGTACTCGTCCGTGCCGTCATCGATCATGTGTCTCAGCGTGAGCAGCGTGTCGCGGCTGGACAGCACCGCCTTGCGCCAAGCGGGGTCGCTCTCGTGGCAGATGACCAGGCTGCTGCGGTAGTTTGTGATGGCTTCGTACAAGATAGACACCTCCTCTGTCTCCTCCAGGCAGGTGAAGTGATCCTGGAGGGGGAAGAAAGGCATGATGGGAGCAGGGTAGAATGTAATAAGACTTTAGAAAAAGATCTTCTCTGGCAAACATGAAGATCCATCCATCATCTAGAGGCAATTCCAGCTGATATGCTGACATGGACTGTGGGAGGAAGCAGGAGAACTCCAGGAAAACCACGCAGACACCGGAGAGCATGCAAACTCCACATGGGAAGAACCAGGAATCGAACCAGTGAGTAGAATTAGTTTAGTTTAAGAAACCACAGTGAACTTTACCTGATGCAGTTTGAGGCTCATTCTGACAGCGGGAGCCACAACCTTCTGCAGGAGGTCAAGGTCAGCGAAAACCCACTCGTCTTTGGTGGCGATGCGGAAGTCGCCTTTAAACAGGGTGTTGAACCCATACAGGAAGGACTCCAGACTTTGTAGAGAGAGAGAGAGATATTATGAAATATAAGTGCAGTGACAGTATCTGACTCTATGTTATTGATGTTTAAAGATTTGATGTTGACGCCCCCTTCTGGTGTATATGTCTAACTGCACTATAGTATCTACTGTATTTCAGCTGAGTTCACTCCTGTTTCTTTCAGCAATATATATTCTTTGCATTCATATGAATAAAGGTGACTAACATTAAATGCTACATTACGTTCTGGTGAATTAACTGTAAATGCTCCGTGTTATATTTTTCCTGTTTAATTAATCAGTTACTCCGTGAAGCTTGAAAATCACAATAGTTTTCAATAGATACATGATCATGGTCAAAAACGTCTTCATAAATACACAAAATGCACTCAATATATACATTAGAAAAACAGATCCTACAAAAAATATAGCTGGAAATACAAGAAATCCAAAACATACAATTTACTTTTCACCTGAAACAGCGAGAGTGAACATACAGCAGTAAATCCTTCGGTTATCTCACCTGCCTCTCTGCACAACGAGACCTGTAACTATCACCAACATAATGTAACCTTAGCTACACGGCTTGTTGTAGTTAAAAGACTGTTGGGCCTCGGCCAACCTAAGTGCTCCACCGAGTGACATTCTAGTTTAAAAATGTCTTCTGAGCGTCGTCAGCGTGATCTTCCCTCACATCTCAGTTCAGAGGGTGATCGCAGGTGATTTATTGATCCATGATGTGTGTTTCTCTACCTGTTGGACATGTTGTGTGACGCGGTGCCGAGGGATCTCCTCCCCAGGACGGAGAGAGCGTACGACAGCGTCACCAGAGGAGAGTCTTCATCGCAGTCCACAGGCTGGACACAAACACAGAGACACACAAGATAGACGTGAAGATAAGTAGAGATTCTCCTCATGATGCATTTACAGTGATAAATGTTGGAGTTTTTATGAGAAAAGGATTAAAGGGATCGTGTCACGTGTGATACGTGCAAATTTGAACTGTTTTGCTTTCCTTTGACTCATTCACATCACTGAATGAATGAAACTGGGGCAGCTGAATTTGAACAACATACTAGGAATGTCATAAATTCACTTTAATGTGATGGGTTTTTTGTGTTTTTTGCCTTATATGACACTGGACTAAAAGGACTAAATGATTCATGTTATTAATTCAAGTCCCATCTCTAAGTGACGTACCGTCTCCATCTTCCCGGCACAGTACTGGATCCACTCCAGGTAGACGTTGCAGAAGCTGGCGCGCGTCACCCCCTGCAGGCAGTGTACGTAGTCTTCATCGATCTTCACGCTGAAGACCTGAGGGTCACGCTCTATGTGGTGCCACTTGGTGTAGGACTGCAGCGCCTCCTGGATGCTGGCATCCTTGAGCCAGGTGGCGAGTTTGGGGGAGTGGACCAGGTAGTAGATGATACTCTGAGAGGAGGAGGAAGAGGAGGAGAAGGAGGAAGAGGAGGAGAAGGAACATCAGATAAACGTAAAGGAGAAATAAATGTGCTCTTGTACATGTGTGTTTTAGTTGCTGAGTCTTGAATCACTAGTGGAAAGCTGCCATTTCCAATTATGATTAATGCATTAGATATTTGTCTTTGTGCCAGTGAAGCTCTTTAACCTTTTGGGAGGCGAATATTTAAGTGTGTTCAGACAAGTGGCACTGGAGAGAGGGAAACTGGATACATCTGAAGCTGATGCATTATTAAAGCTGCACAAGGTTCTCCCCGACGCCAGAGATAAAATCTGAGCTTTAACACTAAACACAGCCGATCAAAACAAGGACAGTGCGGTTTGAAAACACGTAGCTAGCAGCTGTGAGGGTATTAGTATATATGTTGATCTGCAAACCAACAGTTTTCAGGATATTACACGAGAAGCTGAACATTTTAATCTGCAGTAAATTTGTATGTTCTCAAATGATGTAGTTTGATGAAGCAAAGCTGATTTGGATCTATAACTGTGATTTGTTGCCCAGCCCAGCTTGCAATATGTTAGTATGCGCTATAATTACATTCCCAACACTCATCAATCACAGAAAAGCTGTGTACATGTACTTTTGTTAATGTACTCTTCTTTCCCGGGTGTTTCAGTTTGAGGTACCTTCAGGTAGTAGGTGATGAGCAGCTTTCGGAGGTCGTACACCTGCAGCATAGTGGCGGCGTTGTTCTCGCTGATGCTGTAACCCTCCAGCAGGTACTTGGTGGCCATCACCTCCCAGGCCAGCCAGCGCAGGTTGAAAGCAGCGTTGCATGACAGCGTGTGCGGCAGGTGACCCGGCTCGCAGCAGCAGCACGCATCGTCCTCCTCCACGCCCTCCGTGATGGCCTCCACCTCTCGCTGCTGGCAGTATGTACCTGGGATGGCAAGAGATGGAGGTAACCAAGTTTATTTTGTCTTCAGTTAATAGAGGGAGATAGATAATGGAAGCTGTAGGAAGTGTGGTTGAGTCAAACTGTACCTCTGAACTCCAGACCCCTCAGCTGGAAAGTGACCAAGCCATTGCCGATCTCAATCAGGTGGACCAGGGCGTTGAGGTAGTCAGACGCCAGAATGAAACAGTCTCCGGCGCTGTAGTTGCCCCATCGGCCCAACATGAGGTCACCGCAAAGTGACTGCTGCAGCGAGCGTGTCAGATACTCATAAAATATGGAGTTTAGGTTGTTGTCATCGCAGCCTGCAGGAGAGGGACGGGGGGAAAGTGAACGGTCAGACAGATGAACAGGTGACAAGGATGTGGACAAACTAGAAGGTAGAGCAAAATAATTAAATAAAGTTTGACTGATTCTTCATATGCTCATTCTATCTAAACTACTAAAAGTTCATTTGAACCTTTTGTGCTGAGGGGCATAATAAGGCAGCTGTAGTTGTTGATGTGACTTTTAAAAAGAACAAACCCGTCTCTTTATCCACCTGGGACACCAGTCTGCTGTTGGAGTTGTCAATACGCTTTGTGCTGCAAGAAATGGGAGACAAAGAAACAAGAATATGTCAAAGGCTACCATGAACGCTGTGGTGACAAACCCGAGTCTTTCTCATGTGAAAGAGGTTAAATAAAATGCTGGTGGGGGTTCCTTCAATGCAAAGCCCACACGTCTCTTTTGCCATTTGGCCCAAAAAATTTTAAACAGTGCAGTCCTTTTAAATATGTTATAGTGCATCTTGTTCAGAGCCCTCGAATAAAACATCTGCCTTTCTGTTGTCCGTGCACCACAGTGCTTTTAATCTAATACATTTCAGATTAAATAGCAACATGGTCTAAATATAATCGCAGGCGACTTCTTGTCAAATCACTGGAGTCGGCACGATAAAGCTGCAGGAGTATTTTTGGACTGAAGTACACACTGTCTCTCACATCAATAAGTTAGAGGGAACAGAGGGGTTAGAGAGAGTGTGAGTGAGACAGAGACAAAGAGAGAGAGCGAGCTCGGGGGAGGGCGTGTTGTGTGTGTCTGCTTATCCGCCTCACTCAGCTCAAAAGGATGAGATCTGAGCTGGTAAATATTGATTCTGGTGACAAAAATCTACTTACAAGTTTATTTTCAAATCCATCTTTTTGGTGAGATCATAGCAACTCGACAATATTCTATAACACTGTGTTTAGTCTGCCTCTCTTCACCCCCCCACCATCTCTGTGGACTCATTTCAACTGGTTCTTACTCGGAACACAAACCTTTTAAAAACAGATCACAGATGTAACATGCAACTTTGATAAGGAATGAACAATTTCCCAGAACTGTAGTTTTGAGAAAACAATATTAAAACAGGAGGAAGTGCTGCATTCATTGAGATCTATTTTCTGCTGTGGATTAATATATGTTTGCTGTGATAGTGAGCAGGATGGTGCAATTGTGATTAAGGGTGCAGATTCTTAAGTCCAGACAAAGCTCTCTGTTTCGGCCTTACTTGTAGTTCCGCTCCCAGAACTTGATTGGCCGAGGATATGAGGAAATGAAGATGGCGCTGCCCAGGAAAGGAGCCAGTGGAGTGTAGAAGACGGTGGTGAGCAGCGTCTGGAGCAGCAGCATGGCGGAGTCTGAACACACACACGCCAGTCAAGGAAAGAAAAGCAGGTGCTGACACACACACACTCACACATCTTAGAACAGGATACGAGGCACTGCAAACGGCTGAGCGAAGGCATGGAAAGCGCTGCCCCAGGCGATCTGCCAGGGAGCGATGTAAACCAGGATGAAGTGGAGCTTCAGCAACAGCTCACGCATCTGGAGAGAAACACAAATACTCAGTCAGTCCTCTCTGAGTTCAGCAGAGGGACAGTATTAAAGCTGCTTCCAGACGTGCACTGAACGCCAGATATTCTCCTGAAATGATCTGGAGGAGCTGTGCAGACTTTCTCTAAAGTTTCTTCTGCCAGCCTCATGAGTAAGAACTCTGGGTAATGTCCGAGTGAAAACGGCAAGAACAGCAAATGGGCATGTTGATGAACAGGTGAAGAAGAGAAGCTAAAGACAAAGATGTCAACTTGGAAAGAAAAGAAACCTTGATGCATCACTGAGGTTATTTTTACAAATCTCCAGCTGTGCGTATTTCTGGATGTGTCTACAATCTCTCTCTCACCTTGTGGAAAACAATGGACATGATGAAGAAGTCCAGCAGGAAGCTCTCGGAGGCGTGTGGGCAGTCGAATTGGAAAAAGACGAGCGTGAAGAGCAGAGTGAGGAACTGGAAGCTGGGGTCGCAGAAGGACGAACGCAGGAGTTTGAGTCCGGCCACCGTCGTCAGGAGAACGTCACAGCTGGAGGCGGCACAGGTAAGAGATCAGACGACAGGTTTAGCAGCTGGTTCACCACACGCACTCTGATGATGCTGCGTGTTTGTGTCCGCACTCACTGGATTCCCAGCTTCTTGCGGTGACTGAGGGCAAAGCCGTCGTTAGTGAGGGCGCTCAGCACGATGGCGGGGTACACCACGTACTTCTCAAAGCACAGGAGCCCCACGTACAGTCGCTCAAACCACATCAACACGGCATCCTCTGTAACACAAGAGAGAAGAAAGACGTGACACAATAGATTAGTGAAACCGCAAAACCGATTTCCAGCAAACCGGGTGGGGGGAAGGGGCCCTGGTCTGAGAAGAAGTTTGGTGCAGATGTGGATTACAGGGCAGATTCAGAATGTCTGAGTTCAGGAGTTCATGTCTATAAACACGTGGCCTGACCTCTGGGTTCAAACTGGTGGTACTCCTTCGTCTTGAGGACCGGGTGGGAGATCCACAGCCAAGGGTGATGCTTCCTCAGCTGGGGGATGAGGTAGTGGGTGACGAACCCCACCGTCCCCGCCAGAGCGTAAAGCACGATGGTCACAAAGGGCTGGATACAAGAAGGGGTGTTGGTTAAACGTAAAAGGCAGCGGATAGAAAGAGAGGACAGAAGATATTCTCACCTTGAGAGACAGAAACACAGTGCTGGCAGTTATGGCGAAGGTTAGGATGTAGGCAACAGAGCACACGACCACGTCCGACAGCAGAATCTCCTTCTGAAGGACACAAGAGGGAGGAAGAACTGCGATCATTAATAATCCAAACTCAATGAAAACTCATTTTGTTTGTCAGACTCATTTAGGTGTGTGATTATTTTTGTTTAATCCGTCTGAGCCTTCAAAGATGCAGCAGCTTGAGAAGAGTTAGCAGTTTCAGATTACACATTAATACTGTAAGAGGCAGCAGGAGGCCTGTTTTCTCTGAGGCATAATTCCCTGTAATCGTTCACATTGATCGACAGCAAACACGAGCTTAAGTCTCAACACCACAGCTCAGGTGCAGTGTGAGATGTAGGTTTAGAAACTCATTATTTCCTGCTAACTACATCACTGATGAAACAAATACTCGTTTGATCCATTTATATTGATCTGTAGTTACCATAGAGTTCTGCATCTTCTCCGGCAGTGGGTCTTTGATGTCGGTAGATTCCTCCTCCTCTTCCTCACTCTCCACCAGAGCAGGCATCACCTTTGACTTGATCAGAGATCTGTGATTAAAAAATAAGGAGAGTGTTATCTATGAAAAAAAAAGGAATATTTTGATGAAATGATTTCCTTCCAAGAAAAACATGTGAATGAATTTATGTGTGAAATATTAATATTTCACATGATTTAAGAAACAACAGAGTAGTTTGACATTATTTTTAATCAGCTTTTCACAGCATGGAAATTTTACATTACAATTTAAACTTGGTGAATCTCATTATATTTGAATAATTCAACATCACAAGATGGTATTAAAGTAGAGTATCATCAATACATAATAAATCTTCCATTATTTCCTCATGGAGATGAATTCCACTCTAATCTTTTTCTTAGGACTATAATGAAGTGAAAGTGCATGCAAACACACACACACACACACACACACACACACACACACACACTCACAGTAGTACGGAGGGGTCGCTGCTCTGTCGGCTGAGGTGGTAGGAAAAGACGACCAAAAGGCCACAGAAAGCAGAGAACAGAGCTGGAGTGTGCTGCTCATCCCAAGGCTCCTGTATCCACACACACACACGTTAACATTTTAAAACGTCCTTTTCTTGTTTTCTTTTTTCTTCTGTATTTTTTGTTCAT